GAGAGAGGAGAGAGACGAAGGCAAAACCATAGAACATATGATGTGAAAGAGGTTGAGGGAGATGACGAGGTGCTCACGTTCGCAAAGATGAAGAGGAGCTTTTGTTTGTTGTAAACCCACATTTGGGGTTGGGTTCCAGAGCCGTAGTTATTTGGGACTTGGCTCCAATGTCCAATATCCAGTCTGTGATACAATTAAGCCCATTAAACAACAGATTGGATTTATGTCTATTTTAAGAGTGTTGCTAAATGAACCCTAAAATTAACTGAGTGCACCCTACTATCAAATTATTTATTGAATTACTAATTTACCCTAATATAAAATGACCGAAAAAGATATATTAAATTGTGAAACAAATATAATTTTAATAAGTACACCATACTCACCATATCCAACCCTAATCAAACGTAGAGAAGTTTTCGTTTTTGCTTGATACCGACGGCAAACAACACAATGAGCATTGGCGGTAGTGCAAAGAGGTGTCATTGAATGTTTGTTCACTTGCCCCTTCCTTTGCCAACCAACAGCCCTCCATTGCTGCCCAACAACTCCTCCATTAGACATGAAGGTTAAAGAAATTATGAAGAGACCAAATCTAAAAGTGGAAGACCATCTAACTATTCATAGCAATCATTGAAGATATTAGTTGGATCTAAAGTTCAAATATAAGAAGGCATTTGGGAATTAGTTTTCAAGTTTGCAGTAGCTATTAGACCCATGTGGCGTGTTGTCGAACTAGTTTGAACAAATTCGTTATTTGAAGACTAAATCAAAAACCCATTAAGATGAGGAAAAAAAAAAAGGAATTTGCGGAACAAAGAAAAACCCAAATTTGTTCAAATTGACACATTTTAATGTGAAGAACAAAAGCATTAGAAGAAATTAAAATATGACGTGGCAAATTAGAAGTGATATAGTGTATTAGGGTGTACTAAGGGTATTTTGGTATTTAACTAGAGTGTACTTAGTTAATTTTACATTTTGATTTAAATGTTAGGGTGTACTCAGTTAATTTTAAGGTTCATTTTGCATCACTTCTATTTTAATTGAATATATCCAATTCAATTTAGCCCATCAAATATAACCCAAAAATTTGGGCCAATCTAACTACTATTTTATTAATAATTGGTTCGATTCAATTCAAGATTATTAATTTAGTATAAAAAATAACCAAACTGCTCCAATAAATTTTGTTTGACCGGCCTAAATGGTCGGATGGTTTTCTCGGCTACCCCCGACCAGTCGAGATAAATCCTCGCTTATGTGGTTTTTTCTTTGGGTTGGGTCAATACTTGCTTATGTGATTTTGGTTCAAAATTTGGGGGCAATAGTTGGGTCCAAAGTTACCTTGGTCTTGGATTTCAAAACTTGGGCTTCTATCAACCCAGTTTAAGTTGTACGGTCTAAAAGCGGTTGATCCATTAGGAAGATAAGTATAATTAATGGCAGACCAGTTACAAATTGATCATGTCACATGGCTTATTGCTGGTCAAACTAACTTCAGTCTTCTTGTTCATCAGTCAGCGATCAAATTGGGCTACTTGATCCGGAAAACCCTAACATTAACATGTGCCAGTAGGTCGCCCCTTCCTTCGATTTCATGGTGAAACATAGACTATGATATCAATTGTTGAGAACTTATAATAGAATTTGTCCGTAAAAATCAACTTTTAAAGGGAAGGATGCCCAAGAACCCTTAAACCACTTTAGGATATGTTATTTTTCCAATGCGGGATCTTGAGTCCTAAAGTTTATACTGTTTTCACCGTCAAAATACATTGTTGAGTAACCCTATAAAGAGCATGTGCATTTTTTTATTTTTAAAATCTCATCCATGCATAGTGAAGATTATGATAAAGCAACAACCTAACCATATTTTTCCTTATATGCATTTGAATATAAGAAGAAACTTTTAACTTAAAAAATCCATAAATATATGAAAGAATGAGTTGAATTAATTTCTAATTATCTTAAGGTTGAATTAATATAGAGGACGATTAGTTAAGAAAGATCATTCGAGTTGTTGTGGTTCAATTGAGAAAAGCCATTACACAAACTTTCACCTAATTGCTCATATGAATAATATATGACCTTACAAATCACGTCAGCCGTCAGTGGATGCTCATACTCGATCAGATTCTTTGAGTAGCTTGAAAGCAACGCAGCAACGCACACACAACACGGCAGGACCAGAAATAATATAATATATGCTTCTTCTTCATCACTTCCTTTTCATTCCTTTCTTTATGTACTGTTTCTTTTTGCATGAGCTTCCTCCACCTCCTTTCCAAATTAATATGCTTTAGAAGCAAGCATATGATTCGCACTTTCAATTAATATAGTAAGGACAGTTTGGTGGACTGTTAGCTTGGATCAATCATAGTAAAAATCATTATACATTATACAGGGAGGAAGATCAAACTCAGGCGTACTCGGGCGTACGATGAATGGCAGGAACTCTACTTTGGCCAATCGACTTAACTCATATAAGCACTTATATCACATCATATTTTTTGGACATATATGTATGAAGTCCATAAACTTGCTTGAAATGGCAGATCGTCTTAAAGCCCTTTGTTCATAGGCCCACAGTTCCGGTACAGAATTTACAAACTTTTGGGAATTAAATATATCTTGAGAATTAAAATTTAAAACGCAAGCATAAACTTTTGCTCATCTGGGAACTTGATTATGAATATGAAGAGGTTTGTTTGTTAATAAAAGCGTATAATAATATACAAAAAATTATATTGCTATGCACCGATGGAAGATGGACATGGACAACATGTTACTTGTTCACTTGTGATGAGCGAAGGCTGTGACAAAACAAAACTGTAAGAAGCAACACATGTGAAAGCCGTTGGATTGGTGGTGGGGACCATGCAAGGCCCACCGTTGGATTGGATCAATATCCTGCGGTAACACAGTAATGACAGATGCCTGCATTTGCATGAGATGCATGGGCTTGTTCACGTGCCACACCGTTTTCCACAATTTGCATTTAATAAGAATTACCCCACACTCAGGCCACACCATATGCTTTATGGACCAAACCTATGGTAAAATATCCTTGGGCTTTCACTTGGGGTGTATGACCCAAAAAATAATTTAGGCAAAACAAAAACAATACAACAAAAATAGTCGGGAGAGTTTTTCTTGTTTAGAAGAAGTTAACTACGTGATTTGAACTCGAGATCTTTTTCAATATAACGAAGACACTGATGTTTTGCTAGATCAAATAATTATCCGTAATTGGGAAAAGTTTTAACAACAGAAACATCAATCAGAAGATTTTAGGTTAACTTTTAGTTACGTCGTACGTGCTTGAAAACTAACTCCATCAAGTAATCAAGACTATTTTACATTGATAAAGGACTTAAGTCTTCATGACTAGCCTCGTATACTTGAACTTAATTTTGTTTAAAGCTGATCTTTTGTTTAATGTTGGCGTAAAGTACTCATTAACCCACAACACCAAGGTATTATTAATTATTAGTAGGTTTGGAATAAGAATGGAACATGACATGTGGCCACGTGACTGGCATGGGGGTTGTCTTGCAAAATACAAAAACAGCCAGACGACACGCCATTTTCAGATACTCAAATAAATCCAAAGCATCAATTCCAAAGCTTCGTCTCATTATCCCACCGAAAAAAGATCCATACTTTGCCAATTCCCAACACCAGACGTGAATAGTGAACAGTTTTTTCATCCAATTATTTGGAACGTTTGATTGAGCAAAGAAGATGGTCGTATAGAGTGGATGAGGGAACATCCTAGGTCAAAAGGAAATTGTACCACAAGCCTCTTAAGCACGTGGAATTTATGGATAACGTTTCTAGTATACCATGCATACTTGTTTTATACAACATTTGCCCAAGGCCATGAACTTCCTTAATTGCACTTCACAATTTAAAACTAGATTTAACATAACATTGTTAATGTTAATTTATGGAAAAATCAATTATCGTAATCAAGGAGAATATAGATTTTCGCTAACAGGTGTGATCAAGGCATGACGAATGCTGACAGAAGTGATCAAGATGACATAATCTCGGAAATATAATGTTAAGAAGTAAGTTGTTGATTGATGGAATTGAAGCATGATGATTAACATAAAACTATTAATTTAGGGAGCTGATTTTCTTATTCATCCTTTGTCTACTTACATTCCCTTTTATATCAATCTCTAATTGAAATTGGACTTTAAAATAGTAATTAAGGTGAGGTAAATATAAATGGTTGGTTGATGGAATTGAGGCGCAATGAAATGAAATCTACCAATTCATACCAACCTCTATAGCTAGTAATAGTATGTGTGCCTCTTATTTGGTCGGATTATACAAACCAACATAATGTTATCTTAAACACACTAGACATTTAATTTGTACTAGAATTATCCATAAAGTGATTCTTTCAAATGGATAGCTTCTTCACACACACAGCAATGGCCCCTCCACCCATCTTCACGCCTTCCTTGTTCAACATCTGTATCATTGTGTAATGAATTTTAACTTTCACTTGAGTAACTTCCAAGGCACACACTCACTCTCATATCTGGTTGTCTCTCTCTCTCTCTCTCTCTCTCTCTCTCTCTCTCTCTCAAAGCTCAAATACGCAAGAAGAATAAGAGATGCAAATCACTCGAACAAGAAGAAAAAGCAAAAAGTCTCAATCACCCTCACCACCACCACACCCTCCCTCTTCAACTTTCAACCCAAAACCCAATAATAATCACTCATCCCCCTCTTCCAAGCAACCCTCTTTCCACCTCTTCGTCAACACCAAACCCACCTCTCCTCCTCCTCACCCTCTCTCTAAATACCCAACCCCCATTTCATTTTTATATTCTACAAACACACACTCTCTCTGTTGTCTTTTAACTTTCACTCTGTTTTAGACTTTAGGCTTTTATTATCACACGTTAGTTGTTGGGTTCATTGGTTTTATTATTTTAGTTTAGAAAGCAGAATGGCC